CTGCTGACCTAATATCTTATCTTCGCAAACTTTATATAAACACACAATCAAAAACGTGTTGCCAAGTCACTTTCCAGGACCTTGCAAAGTGCCTGCACAAATTGGAGCAGGACTCAAGTTTCATTAGCTTCTTGGTAGCAAACCCACCTTTGAGTATAATCACTTCAAACCTGTTCACATCATCCCCATGACAACAGAATAGTGCATGATAAAATGGAAAATTTGTGACACAGAGCAGACCTCGGGAAAGTTCTCATCTAACTAACCTGATGGTGCATCCTTTGCAGTCACCTTCTTTTTCTCGGAAATTCCACAGACCTATAGGTTTGCTGTCAAAGTACGTTTCTCCCATACAGCCAGTGAACGTAATCACACGTACAGCATCAGCCTTCTGCAAAAAGAAATGTGGTAGTTGTTAGAATTTAGAACTTCCAGATAGTCTTGGCATCTGAATAGTGATTATGTGTCCTTCTGTTACCCTTAGTTTTGTACATTATATTCTCGTAGAACTCCAGTTATATGTGTTATTATAACTTTAAAAGGTCAAACAAATCAAACACGCATGTCTCTCTGTTGCATTGACCCCAGGGTGCATGGATATGTAGAATGTTGATCAGAGGCGTTGATATTTGTAAGTTAAGTGGTCCTTGGACTGCTCCCGCATTAGTCGGGGCCTCTGTATCTTTAAGAGGTGGTGGATTCTACTTGCTTTTTGTTTCTCCTCAAATTCTGAATAGCTATATTTGAGATATGTTCTTGCTCATTTGAATTTTCATCAGCAAGTTCATTTAGTTACATGTTTTCCACTTGGATTCATGTTCTGGTGTGGCAGGAGCATTGCAATTCTTGGCCAAAAAGATTTAAGATTTTCTAGAGGTTTCATTTGTTCATACTTTCCTTTTTCCTGAGCACGACAGTGTTACTTTGTTCCATGGCATCTTCACGCTAATAAGAATTACTGAAGGTGCCATGCAAGGTGTGACCACTGTGTCTTTGGCATTTGTCACATATTTTATTCACATAATGTCACATTCATTGTAGCAGTGAGCATGGTGATTAAGAGTGGAGACTCCTTTTTTTTTTTGGAGAGGTTTTCGCTATAGGGCACGTGCGCTCGCCAGACAGACAGAGAGAGACATAGAGACAGAAAGTGAGAAATCACCCCCCAGGGGGGATGGTCACACCGCAATCCCTTCTCCTCCATTCTCCTCTCGGGATCTTGGGCACGCACGCATACGCGCCCGGTGTGAGTTTTAAGCCACTGGGTCCAGGATGTGAACCGTGGTCAACTATGTGGGAGTCCAGCGACATAGCCATTACGCTAACTGCTGGTTCCCAAGAGTGGAGACTCTTGTGCCTGTTCACCTGGGTTCAAATCTCAGCTCTGCCATACTTACTGTGTGTCCTTGGCTAAGTTAACTTCTACCTTCAGACTCCTTAACTATCAAGTGAAGAAGACCTTAGTGTCCACTTTGCTTTGGTCTGAATGTATGTGTCCTCCCAAGCACATTTCTTGAAATCTTACCCCCAAAGGTGATAATGTTATGAGGTGGGGGCGGGGGTCTTTGTAAGGTGATTAGATCATGAGGGTGGCCTCATAAAAGGTCTGGGGTGCTTGTTTGCCTTTTCCATCATATTAGGACACAGCGAGAGGCACCTTCATTGAGGAACAAGCCCTCTGCCAGACACTGAATCTGCTGGTGTCTTGATACTGGACTTCTCAGCCTCCAGAGCTGTGAGAAATACATGATGGTTATTTATAAGATACCCAGTTTTATGATATTTTTGTTTCAGTTTGAATGGACCAAGACACATGTTTTGAGGCTGTTGTGAAATTAAAGAGGTTAATGTATATAAATTACTTAAGCTATTATCTAGCACATAGTAGGGGTTATAAAAATGTTAAGAGTTCATTAGTGTTTCCTATAATATTCAAGCAAAGTAAAAAAAAAAAATTAATTGCCAGATGGCACATGCATCCACCAGACAGAGACAGAGAGAGAGAAAGGGAGAAAGCACCCCCAAAGGAGTCCTGGCCACACTTCCACATTTGTACCTGGTGTTTTTCCAAGCCTCCAGTGCTTGGACTCAAATGGCAGTTGACCATGTGGGATTGACTCTCTGAACCACTAGGCTATGGGGTTGGGCCAAGATAGATTTATTTTATTTTATTTTATTTTTTTGCTATAGGGCATGTGTGCTCACCAGAGAGAGAGTATGACAAATCACTCCCAGGGGAGATGGCCACACTGCAATCACTTCTCCTCTAGTCTCCTCTCAGGATTATGGGCACACATGCACATAATGCCTGGCATGATTTGTAAGCTTCTGGGTCCTGGAGTCAAACCTCACAGTTGGCCATGTGGGATCCAGTGCCTTAATCAGTATGCCAGCTGTCGGCCTCAAGGTGGATATTTTTCTTGCCTCTAGTTAAGATAACTGAGGCCTAAGGAGTTAAGTGACTTGCCTAAAGTTTTCTTTTAGTAGGCGGTAGAGGAGGAAAGCTAAACTGGATTTGATTTCAACATCCATGACTTTTGTACTACTGCGTGCTACCTCTGCTGGGTGATTGGCTTTCTGGAAAGGAGAGAAAGACGGCAATATGACTGTCTATTGCTATGTCCCGTATTTATTTCTATCATTCTAAGAAATGAGGATGACTTTAGTGTGTAGTTGTGGAATCATTTCCCATACTTTAGAGTCACATCTCGCACACAAGACAAATAAAACCGCCCCATCTATATAAAGGTTGAGTTCTCATAAATTTCGGGTCATTCCGGCTTTTCACAATTTCTGACTAATCTCATCCCAGGGTGATTCTGACGAGTCCAGGATTATACATTATATTTGGTTATGCGCTTGCATTTCACCCACAGGTCATTTTCCAACACCTAAATCCATTTAATCAACACTTGCTTTTTAAAAATGCAGACACTTTGCCATTTGAAATGCACAAGGACCTGTCCTGAAGCAATTATGAATATGAAGTGCATTACCCTATAAGAATGAGGAGAACAAGCAACTCGAAAACTTTTAAAACCAGATCATGATTTGTAAGTTGATAGCTTCTGTGATATTTCCCAAGGTATTCCTAAATCTCTTAATTAGATGGGAGTGTGAACTTCATCACACTTCCTATCTGTAAATCACAAGTTGATTCAGAGAATGAGGTATACTTAAAAACACTTTGCTCTTAAGGCAACTAAAACAAGAATATCAAAAAACAGATGCCACAGATAAGTGCGAAACAACAACTGTTGAAGTAAACACACAGGCTTAAAGATACAGTATTTCCAGATTAAATACTCGAGAAAGAACATTCTGACTCTAAATAAATTCATGTTTCCACAGACACTTGAGTAAAATGTGGTCAGGTTTTGCAGAGCGTTACCATGTCTTTTCCCAAATAATCTTGCCCATAAAGACGAAATCAATAAGGAGGGGAAGGACATGTTACCTTTATTTTCCCAGTCAAACCTCCAACAAACAGCATGGCATTTGCGTCTACATCGAGAATAGTGTAGCCTGGAGGAGATGCTGAATGGTAGGTACTGGGCACCATGCTAGCTTTGGGTCCATCAAGGGCTCTCACAGAAATAGTCCCGTTCCTTCCCGTTCTTCAGGGGGTACATATTGAAATGAAGGGGAGGAAAACACAGAAAATGAAATATACATAACACATTTCTGGTAACTTCAGATTTAAGAGGTTTAAGATGTATTAGACTTGTTTTGGACAATGTAAGAGAGAACAGAGTGTTTGGCTTCTAACATTCTGGAGTCTTTAATCTCTGATCAATACTCAGAGTCTGATCGTTGCTGAATGTCTACAGTCAGATTCAATCAGGGACTGTGAGCAACACACCCTGAATCTGAGTGTTTCCACTGATATAAGATGACCCAGCAGCAATTAGCCGATGAAATTGCTGTCGGTTAAATGGAAAACCTTATTCCTATTGCCTTAAAGAATATTTTACTATTTATCAATACATGCTATTTAAACATGTTTATTACTTCAGTTACCTTTTTGTCTAATTTAATTCATTAGGTGAATCCCAAATGGGCTCCTGCTTCTGCACTGTAAGCTACATAATTCCTCCTAAAATTCTTGTTCTTTATAAACTTGGATCCAAATTCACTGAAGTACTCTTCCTAGAATTGTACTACTTTTACTGTTTGGTACACTATCTTAATGTATATAGCAATAGTATAATATCTAGTCTTTGGAACTGTGCATACGAATTGCACACAAGTTCACTTTTAAATTAAATTAACAGAATTTTAAAAGCTATTATCATCTCATTTAATTTTCCTTTTCAAGTGATTGACTTCCATGAATTTTTAAATTTGAAAATCTGGTCTCTTTTCTGAGACAAACAGTCATAACAAAACTTCAGTGTCATATTTCACTCCCTGCTGTCTCATTTGCTAATATTTTTATCTTTGAGGTGCAGTGCTACGTGAAATACATGGTAACAAAAGAATAAATTTATCAAACAATGTTCATCTGATGGAAGAATTATGTTTTATATAAATGTCCTCAAACCTAGTAAATAATTTAATTCTCCTAAAACCACCACACATGCTTCTTGCTGTGTCTCTCATACACACACACACACACACACACACAAGCACACATATGCTTTTGCTGAAGATCTTCAAAAGGAATTAAAATATTGCTTCTTGGGGTTGGCATATGGTGTGGTGGCTAAGGCACTGGACTCCCACATGGACAATCATTGTTTGAGTCCCAGCTTGCTTTCTTACTTTTTCTCTCTCTCATCAAATTAAAAACAAAGAATAATAAATAAAATTAAATAAAACAATTTAAAGAGAGAGAGAATATTGCTTCTCTTTAAGTTTTCTTTTTAATATTTTATTATGGAAAAATTTTAACTTATGCAAACATAATAAAACTGGGACCAGCAGTTAGCATAATGGTTATGTCACTGGACTCCCACGTAGTCTACTGCAGTTCATGTCCCAGACCCGGTAGCTTAAAACTCACGCCGGGTGCGGGGGCGCCCAAGATCCTGAGAGAAGAATGGAGGACAAGGGATTGCGGCATGGCCATCCCCCCTGGGGGGGTGATTTCTTGCTTTCTGTCTCTCTGTCTCTCTCTGTCTGTCTGGTGAGCGCACGCACCCTATAGCAAAAAATACCTCTGCAGAGGGAGAAAAAAAATAATAAAACTATATACCCATCAGTAGATTCAACAATGACCATGCTTTTAAGCTTTTTTTTTTTTAAACCCATCTCTGATCAGTTGTATCAGAAACCCCAGGCTTTTAACCATCTCTCTTGATTGTTAATGCTTTGGGTTTCATAGGGAGTTGGAAATTAGAAAAAGAATAAGAGAAAATTAAAGGGAAGTTATTTAGCAAGGGAATGGTTCTATAAGCAATCTATATGCTACTGAAAGTTGATGATTGAATTAAATCTTCAAAGATAGAATTACTGAATAAACTCCCTATTACTTCCCATATTAAGTAGTGTGGATCTGTTGTATAACATATTAATCCCAGCATTTTGGCACTACATATGCCTGTAGGCATGGTGGCAATATAGATCGAAAGAGGAGCTATGAACACAAGGCAGGAAATAATGGAAGCTTTTCCTCCGGCTTGCGTTTAGTAAGCACGAGGCTCAGTACTTATTCCCTTCTCCCTCAGGTGAGATAGGATGACTGAAAATAGTTAAATCCACAGATTGCTACTAGACACCAAATGAAGGGGTCAGAAATAGACTGTTACTCTGATTAGCACCTTGAAGGTTTGTCAATTTCTAACAGGTAAAACAAAGATATTCACTCCCATACATTGTAATACATATATCTATATTACATTCATACATGCGTATACAGGCATACACCCATTTTTAAAACACAAATGTAAGTTTTCTTCTAAGCTGGGAAATGAATTCAAACTTGCATCATTGAGTTATCTTAATCTTTATTGCAATATTACCTTGATGCTTCAATACGGTACCAGTGTGAGTCATCAATAGTCAAATCTGGATACTCTACACGCCCAACTCCAGATCCAACATCCCAGAGGAAGCTTACTTTGCCTTTACGCATTTCTATAGCCAGAAAGTCAATCTAGTTTGGAAAAATACAACAACAATACAACAATATCATATCTGAAGCAACCTGATAGAGGAAGTGGCATTTACAGACACATGAAATAATGAAAAGCCTCATAATAAAACTTCTTAAATGATAAGGTGTTTTATTATCTATGATTAAAATATTCTATTATCGTACCTTTAAGTAAAAAATAGTCTATACCCCTGAGTCGTATGTGTTCATTTTACCCATTTTAGTTAGGTCTAATTTTGAGACTAAAGTTTTTTTTCCGCTTTGATATTCATAGTAGAGATAAAAAACAGATATTAGCAACAAAAAAGCAAATATTTAGATTCAAGGTTTATTATTTCTTTTTACCAACAATACTTACATTTTTAAGGGGAAAGCTATACTGTTCTTACCCAAAGTGACTAGTAACTCTTTACCTGAATGGCAGATGTTGCCTTATCTCTTAAAGAGTCATATTCGTTTTGGGTGATTCCTGGGCATGTGAAGTCAAGTGGTTCAAATAGAAGTCTAAACTTTATATATGAGACGTTGTCAATATAATTTAGGTGATTTTAGTTGGCATTATAAATTTAACATGAATTAGGGATGTTTTTATTCATAAGACATTAGTACCCAATTTACTATTTTAATTTTATAAACATAAAACTCCATTGTAATTTCTCAGGTTGAGAAGAGTTAAAAAATGAAGTTATATTCAATGAACTTTTTTTCCCTTTTAAAAATTTTCCAGGAGGTGCATGTGCTTGCAAACAGATTTGGGGAAGGGGAAGTGAAGTGAGACAGCAACCTCCTGGGGCATGGTCATGCCACAATCCCTTCTCCTTCATTTCTTCCTCTTATCTAGATGTGGGCATGTACACACTCATGCTCGCCATGTTTCTCAACCCAACAGGTTCAGGACCATACGACAAGATGGACCATGTGAAATCTAGTTGCCTTAACCACCACGTCACAGGATGGCCCTAACCTTTCATCTTAAAGAGCTAGTTCTGAAACTATAGTTCAAAATAAATGAGGTAGACTAACAAATGAACACAAATGTACCTAAACACTGTAAGGGGTCTTGTTCCTTTCATTTGCCTTCTACCTTAATTTGGCACCTCAGAACGTCCCAAGATAAGATTCTGAGGTTTTCAAATCTGAAAGGCTACATTTGACAATTTTAGAGCCATGTTATCAAATTCTATACATTTTTCTCCACTACCAGGATTAACCTCTGACTACACACATACACAGTAGGTTAAAGAAAAGCTGAAATATTATACTTACAAATTTGGCACTTCCAAGATAAAAAAGGAGGTTGTCAGCAACAGCGGTCTTGACGTTGACAACGATATTATTGTAGCTCCCTTTCTTGATTTCTGGCTTGTATGTTCGGATGCAGTCACCTCCTGAAGACACAGATACTTTGATCTTCAAGATAAACAAGGTACAAAGAACCAAGATTAAATTTCTCTGAAAGTTTGAAGTAGTACCTAAACAACCACGAAGCCATCATCATTTCTTCTTTGAAGTTATTTTTTGTAAATCATCAAATAGGATCATTAAATACCCATACGCAGACACCATTCTATTTATTAATGAGGACACAAAGGAGCCGTTTTCTCCTAGCATTTTGACAATGAGCTGTTCACAGTACCGTACCTTGTTAGCATGCTACTATTTTCTGAGGCACGCAACTAACAAATTCTTACCTTCATACTTTTCTACCTTAAGAATATGGGAACATTTCAATAAGTGATTTTTTTTTTCCTAAAGCTAATGGAAATGACGTTCATTAAAGTTGCTTAATGAAATTTCACAATTCAAAGTTCAGTGATTTTTGGGATCACTGAATGTAGGAAACCATTTTTCCTTTAGTTTTCAGGAGAAATTATCTACCCTCCCATGCTCTTACAGTTGAAAGACACCAAATAGATTTTGTTCTAGATGTTCTAACAATACGAAGAATACTAATCATTCCTCTCAGAACATGCATTTCAGAATAAATTATACCTTTTTACGAAGTTGCCAGGAAATGAAATGAAAATAATTTCCAATGGCTATCACTACTAATGTATTTAACAGTCCCTTTTTCTTTTGAAAAGTACTTTTGAATAATACTTTAAAAATTACAAATTGCTAAGAAAGGAATTCCTATGTGAATAGAGTGACACTGTTCATACCAATTCTTACTTACATTTAGGGAACCTTCCTTCAATCACAAATAACACTACTTGATTATTTAATTTAATTTCCTCTGTGTCATCATCAGAGTGGTACTTTCAGGACAGTGATGAAGTTGCTCGTACTCAGACAGAGGTTGCTACTCTGCTCATTGATAATGCCCAAAGTAGGAGGCAGAGAGAGAGGGGAAGAGGAAGACTTCTCTTTGCTACTGGTTAAAAAACCTGACTCCAGGAAGCCTCTTGGCCTCCACTAGTAGTAAATTTCCATTTTCTGATTTCTAGCACTGTGTTACTCACATAGTTTACACCTCTGGAAGAAAAACAACTAGTTTTCTTATTACATGCATGGAAGGTTTGTGCAGATTTGAAACTGGCCATCAAGCCAGTCCTCATGTTTATGGTGAAACAAGAAGATGTCTCCAAGAATCTCATTTGGGTGTTAGCGTAGGCAACACTGTGATCCCTCTCCAAGGGTGTGAAGTCAACACTAAGGGTGTGGAGACTATACTGAGACTACAATTGTTTTACTGGTATACACAAAATGGCTGGATTCAAAAAAGAAAGCTAGGGAGGGATTTTTGATTCTGAAAAATTACTAAGTACACACATATTTATATACACACATATTTATATACACACATCTTTATGATATGCGCACACACATATGTACACACATACACACACAGTATACACAAAATGGCTGGATTCAAAAAAGAAAGCTAGGGAGGGATTTTTGATTCTGAAAAATTACTAAGTACACACATATTTATATACACACATATTTATATACACACATCTTTATGATATGCACACACATATGTACACACATACAAACACACATATATTCATTTTTGTTAAGGTTTATTTGTTTCATGAGAGTGGGAGATGATGGTGGGGGGAAGAAAGAGAGAGAAAGAGAAAAAAACACAAATGCCCTTAATAGAATCTCAGTTTTAACTCCAAATGTTTATACTATAAATCAAATATGCAATGGTAGTTGGCCAAGTGTGTTACATGTTAGAAGGGACAGCAATTGTACAGAGGGTATCCAAGGACTGAGAGATAAAAAGGATAAAGCAAAACAAAAGAAAGATGATATCATTGACGTCAGGTAGGGGAAACATGGTCTTTAGATATTTTGAATGTCCTGGAAAGTTTTAGGCTATAATGAGTTTTTAGAAATTTGCAACAAGTAATCCAAAACTGTCATCAGAGAATACCATGGCATTGAACAAATTTAATATCTGAGGCAGGTTATAAATGCTGTTGACATTGTAAGAGGATCAAAGAGAACAAGAAATCTAGATCTAATTGGAATTCATGCATAGAACTGAATAACAGATTGAGCTATTCCTGGTGGGAAACCACATCTAAATTCCAAGAGGGGTTGAATTAAACAACTGTGTGTTGTTAGTTTTATCTTTACTTAAAAAAAGTTTCAAAGGATTAGGCATGGGGCCATAATATAGCTAGTTTAATCACAAATAAGTCATTTTTATTTAATGAACATAAGTATTCCTTAGTTATTATTTCAAGAAGAAAATGACTAAATATGTGTGGAATGTGTGATCATTTGGTTACAGACTGTTTCAGTTCTTACTTAGGTATATCTGGTAGAAATAATAAAGGAATGCATAACTTGTGTGTTAAAAACAGGGTTGCCAAAATGTAGAAGACAGATCACCAGTACTGAAACCTAACTGAACAGATGAAATTCCATTTGAGAGTTCAAGGTCTAAGAGAGTAGCCATATTAAAACCAAGGATATCTGACATCACTAGATGTTAATCTTGGACTTCCCAGACTCCAGAACTGTGAGAATACAATTCTGTTCTTTATAAATTATCCAGGCGGTGGTATTCTGGTATAGCAGCACAAAACAGGCCAACTTTTGCACAGTTGTATAGAAAAGTCTTGGATTTTCTATCTTCTGGTTTTGAATATAATCTTAATACTTGAAAAGTTCAGGCAACCCTAACTTTTGACAACCAATCTGTATTTTATTTCATTTTTTAGAGGTTTTTGCATTAAGGTGCATGTGCTCCCTGGAGAGAGACTGTCAGTGACGCACTCAGAGAAAGTGGGAAATCATCTCTCTGGGAGGATGGTTATGCTGCAATCTCTCCTCCATTTTTTTCTTGGGATTTTGGGCATGCAGGCACATATATGAAGTGTAATTTTTAATCCACTGGGTTTGGGACTTGAGTCAGCCATTTGGGAGTCCAGTGATGTAATCACTATGCCATCTACTCGCCCCCAGTTTGTAACTATTAATCTTTTAAAAATTAATTTGTGCTTTGATTTCCAATTGTAGGAATTTCTTTTAACCACCTTAAAACAGGTATATAAAAATACAATAACCATATATTTCTTTTAAAAAATTATGTCTAAGATATATTTCTCTTGTAAGATAGGAGAAATTTCTGAAACACAAACATCTTCTTAACCTGTTTGGGTATATCAATTATTATTATTTCTAATGTGAGTCTTTAGTAAGACTTCTAAAGAAAAATCACTAAGCATTAGGTATATCTAAGGAATTTCTAATACACTATTATCTACTTGTTAATCATCATGAACTCAATTAAACATTATTGAGTATTCCATTATTATATCTATTGGATTTTCACTGCATTTTTCACCCAGTAACTAGGTCATTCATTTCAAAAGAGTATCAGCTGCTCAATTTTAGAATCAACAAACCAAAAGAAAGCTACTTAAAAACAGATATTTTCAATTTTTTAGGGGGTGTATTTTTAGATTTCTTTACAATGAAGAAATTATTAAAATGTCCAGATTTGGGAACCAGCAGTTAGCGTAATGGCTATGTCGCTGGACTCCCATGTAGTCGACCGCGGTTCGTGTCCCGGACCCGGTGGCTTAAAACTCACGCCGGGCGCGTGTGCGTGCGTGCCCAAGATCCCGAGAGGAGAATGGAGGAGAAGGGATTGCGGCGTGACCATCCCCCCTGGGGGGTGATTTCTCGCTTTCTGTCTCTATGTCTCTCTCTGTCTGTCTGGCGAGCGCACGCGCCCTACAGTGAAAATCTCTCAAAAAAAAAAAAAAAAAAAAAGTCCAGATTTTCCCATTTGATGACTAAATCAGAATATGTAGCTAATTGTGAAATTCACAAGAGAATATTTATTATCATTACTTCTTCAAAGTTAACATTGAGAACAAAGAATGGTATATATCAATCTCTCTCTTTTTTCTTGCTAGTGTCACAACTAGGCCTGATTTCTTTCAAACTACTTTCAAATTCATACTCAAAATGCACAGCTCTGATTATACTGTTTCATGCTCAAAAACTTTCAGTTTATTCTCACCATTGAGATTTATCCCAAGTAAAATCGCTGCAAAATAGGACTGATTAACACCATTTAAGGCTTGTCAAGAACTGGCATCCACTGATCTCCCCAGTGGATGTTCACCTTACTAATTCCTCTTGTCCACCAGTCTGCTTTTCATGAACTGATGATGAAACTACCTTTTCTCTCCTCCTTGGCTTAAGCCATTCTCTCTTCTCAGAATGCCCTGTCTTGCCCCCAAACACCCAGAACCATCCTACTTCAAGTCCTGGTACAAATCCTTCCCTTTGGGAAACCTTCTGGTTCTATTAGAGGTGATTGTTACTTCTAGAAATTTTATAGTACTTCCATGGCTTGACTCATGTAACATGGCACAATATTCTGCATTATTTTAGAGAAGTTTGGGTACATGTTCATATACCACATTATAAACTTTGTGAGTGAAAAAATGGCTTCATTCGTCTCTGTGTGCTTCATAGGAAGTAGCATTGAACATAGGAGATGCTTTTTCTGTGCTGGCTAAATTTTTGATTAAACTCCAAACTTTGAAATAACATCTGGTTTCTTTTTACCTTACACTTTACATACGTTATGACCACCTGTCAGCCATATGACATCATTTTCAGATTAGAGCTGAATTATGCCCTCTCAGACCCTATCGCTGCTTCCTTTTTGTAATTTTATATAACATTTTACCCAATTTCTTTGTCCTTTTCTAACTTTTTATTCAGCCAGTTATCAATTCCTTTTTAAGGCTCCCCTTTGACTTACTGTCTTGGCTGTGGATAGAGGAATTATTGGGTTGTCAGAAAAATCATGACACATTTTTTGCATAGAAAAATATGCTAACACTTTTCCAACAACCAAACAGATATGTAAAAGGGAGAAAAAGGATGTGTTGGCACACAAGCAGTACATTCTTAGCCACTACTTAAAAACAAACAAACAGCAACAAAACCATAACTGATAGGGGAAGAAAGGACTTTTTGATGCAGCTCCAAAATTTTGGTTCAAAAATTTTTTTTTGAGATGAAATCCTTAAGTATCTCAAAAGGTTTCAGTTTAAGCCTGACAACATTACAGCTGTCTTTTCTTTTTTAGTTATTTAATTAAAAAATATTTTATTTAACTTATTTATTTATTTATTTATTTTTAATTTGTCCAGAGAGGGACAGAACAAGAGAGACAGGGAAAGTGAGAAAGCAAACTGCCAGGTTTTGGACTCAAACTGGGGTCAGTCATGTGTGAGTCCAGCCCAATTAACCATCATGCCACTTGCTGGCCTCTTGTTATTTAATTTTTAAAAATTTTTCAGAGAGTCTATGTACTTGGCAATGAAACACAGAAAGAGAGAGTGAGAGAGAAAGAGAAAGGGAAAGTGAGAAAACACCTCCCATGGGGGATATTCACCCTGCAATACCATCTCCTTGATTGCTCACTCCTTTCAGACATCTGAGCATTCACATACAGGCATGTGCCATGTGTTCTAAGCCTTTTTGCTCTGTGACTCAAACTCTGCAGTTGACCCTGTGGGATTCACCTACTTAGGCCACCTTGCTACTGGCTGGATCTTTTTTTTTCTTTGAAGCTAAAGTTTCATATGGTACTTAATAACTTTGTTCTGATTCATTAGCATTAAATTACTCTGAAAAGTTCTACCTCTATCATAGTAGTCTAATTGGATAAATAAACAGAAAATTTTCAAACAAGTCAGATATTTTCTATTCTTATTCTAATTTTTTTTTTTAAATGTAAAAATTAGGGACCTTCAGATGATATAATGGTTCTATCACTGGACTCCCACGTGGTTGACTGTGGTTCAAGTCCCAGACCCAGTGGCTTCAAACTCATGCTGGGTGCATGTAAGTGTGTGCCCAAATCCCAAGAAGAAATTGGAGAAGAAGGGATTGTGGTATGACCATCCCCCCTGGGGAGTGATTTCTCACTTCCTCTATGTCTCTTTCTGTCTGTCTGGCAAGTGCATACACCCTGTAGCAAAAATATCTCAAAAGATGTAGAAATTGTAAGTAAAGTAGTTTTTATTGCTTCTTGTACTTAGAGAAAAGAATATATATAAAGTAATGGACTCTCTTTGCTTAGTACTCCATATAACCTTGTTCTTCATCTGGCACAGCCCTCATTGGTTCGCCTGTATGTTTATATCAAGAGCAAGGCATTGTGGGAATCAGCAGTTAGCGTAATGGCTATGTCGCTGGACTCCCACGTAGTCGACCGCAGTTCATGTCCCAGACCCGGTGGCTTAAAACTCATGCCGGGTGCGTGTGCGTGCATGCCCAAGATCCTGAGAGGAGAATGGAGGAGAAAGGATTGTGGCATGACCATCCTCCCTGGGGAGTGATTTCTCGCTTTCTGTCTCTATGTCTCTCTCTGTCTGTCTGGTGAGCACACGTGCCCTATAGCGAAAAATCTCTCCAAAAAAAAAAAAGAGCAAGGCATTGTCATCCCTGCCTTTTTAGAATACAGCAATGAGGTTTTATTCTTTCCATTTGTATTACTCTACTCAAACAATAATACAAAATACAATACTCCCTCATTATTTTTTCCTCTTTTTAGTGTGAGTGCATGAATTCCTAATTTTAAAATGATAAGTGGTAATTATTGGTCTCATATAATGTCTTTTGAAATTTTTGAAAAAAATAAAAGAGAAGGTCTAACCTCCCCTGTCCCAAATAGTTTCAAGTGAAAGGAAAAGAACCAAAGATCATTCAACAGGATACATTTGGAAAAGACATTCCCTCTGAGAATAATATTAACCACTACAATCAGTTATTGATATAGAATATAAAAAAAGAACTTATGGGACCAGCAGTTGGCATAATATGTTGCTAGATGCCATGTAGTCAACCGCGGTTCAAGTCCCAGACCCGGTGGCTTAAACTCATGCTGGGTGCATGTGCTTGTGTGTCCAAGATCCCAAGAGGAGAATGGAGGAGAAGGGATTGCAGTGTGGCCATCCCCTCTCAGGGATGATTTCTTGCTTTCTGTCTCTCTGTTTCTCTGTCTTTCTGGTGAGCGTACATGCCCTATAGCAAAAAAAAAAAAAAAAAAGGGACCAGCAGTTAGCATAATGGCTATGTCGCTGGACTCCCACATAGTCAACTGCAGTTAGAGTCCCGGACCCGGTGGCTTAAACTCACGCCAGGTGCATGTGCGTGTGTGCCCAAGATCTTGAGAGGAGAATAGAGGAGAAGGGATTGTGGCGTGGCCATTCCCCCTGGGGGATGATTTCTCGCTTTCTGTCTCTCTGTCTCTGGCTGGCTGGTGAACGCACGTGTCCTATAGCAAAAATCTCTCCAAAAACAAACAAACAAACAAACAAAACTCTTCAAGAAAAGTTAATATGAAAGGAAAAAAAAAAAAGAACTTACAGAATTGGCTTGTTTTCGGGCTTGGTTTATTAGTTCCTTTATCTCAGAGATGTTTTTCTTCAGGTTATCCTCAAGTTCCTTGATAGGTTTGAGTTTATCTGTTAGTCGATCAGCTTCTTGTTCTAGATTTTTCACAGTGGCATCTGCATCTGTAACTGCATAGAATAAAATTAACACACACACACATATATACATATGCACTTACATACAGAAATTAGAATAGCAGTTTGTTTACTAAGCAATTTCATCTTACCCACATGACAAAGCAAGGCCATGCCTGCTGAAGCAAAGTGTGGAATGGCAAAGGTGAACATTTTAGTGAAGACTCAAGCAGGCCAGAGGAGAAGATATTAGAAGGCTAAAACTTAGTTTTGTGATTAAGATGAAAATTAGCATTGAAGATGAAGAATATGATGCACTGAATTCAATGCTTAATTTCTAGTTTTAGCCAAAAAGTTAACCTTTATAGAAAGGAACTTTAGTCACAGACGCAAGGAAATGAAAGTATCTTTCAAATGTCACCTAGTCTGTCTAAACCCGAACTGTATTTAAATCACGATTCTCATACAAAATTGGTTTTCATTCTTTTTCTCACTGTCTTTCTTTGCACATCTTAAAGAGATATGCCATCAAAAAGTCTTTTGAAGAACATTTTGATGTCAAACAACCCTTAAACTCAAGGCCTATGTTATACTTTAATTAAATTTTTCATGCTGCAGTTCTATTTCATTTCAAAGAATAGTTGACTATCCTGTACTATACATTAGGTTGAACCATATTAAACTGCAGTTTTTGGTGGGAAAAAAAAAATTAAAAGGTTAAATATTGATCATTTTAAAAGTTTCAAACCTAAAATAGTTGAAGTATATCATTGATCCACAGACTTTCCGTATGTACTTTTCTTAGGAGAACATAAGATACATGGAAAGCCAATGGTTATGTCTCTGGGATGCTGATAGTCTTATCCATACCCTGTCATTTATTATCTAACTGGGTATACTGCTAACTTTCCATCTTTGTGCTCCTGATGAAAAAGTAGAACTGCTGCTAATATTCTTTTTTAACTTGATTTTGAAGTCAGTATTCTGAGCTCATGTTCATAAACATAAGGGATATTGTTAGTAGTTGATAAAAGAATGTACATCTATTATCAACTTTAAATTATAAAGTTTCTTGAGAAAGTCCTGAGCATTTTCTTCCTGAAATGCAGGGTATCTGAATCAAAGCCCTTGCTATTATTGCACAGAGAACATAAAGAGTTACTCTTTGTTTTTATGCTTTTAAAAACCGTTCGTCTATTTCCCCCTTTTCATTCTCCAATTTTATTTTGAGATTCTATAAATTAGAACTGAAGAAAAATCATTCAGATTTAGACTCATGAGAAAGAGTTAAGCAAAAGACTACTTGGTTTTAGGTAAATAAGAGATTCTTTTCTTTGAAACTACTCAGAAATGTTTAACAAAGGCTTCAGATGGAACCTGGAGGTCCTTCCACAACTTCTGGAGCTGTTTACATCATATATAGAAATGATCTTGAAGATTTGAGAAATAAACCAAATGTGATATTGAATCTGATGCTTTCTTGTTTAAGTAGTTTTGAAAATTTCCTCAATTTCTTCTATAAATATTTGGCTGTGTAGATTTTTAAATAATTTCTAAAGATGGATTTTGACAAATTGATGTTTTTCTAGAAACTTATCTATATCTTTTAGATTATAAAATTTATTAGCATACAGTTGTCCCAAGTATCCCCTTATGTGTTAAATTTCTTTCCTATAAGTTATATCCTTTAGAAATGTGCCTATCTGTGTTCTGTTTTTCTTAATTAAACCTGCTAAACATTTAATTTTGAATCTTTATATTCCTAAAGATTCACCTCTTGGATTTATCAAGTCTATTATTTTCTTTTAATTTATTATTTTTTCATCTTTGGTCTTTAATTTCATTTTACATCTTTTCTGACTGACTGAGTTGACGCTTAAAACTTCATTCTAATGAATGCTTCTTTAGTCATATAATTGCTCTCATTTCCACTGAGGATAGCGTTAGGCGTATTTTTCAGATTTCGATGTTGGATTTCATTATTATTATTATTTTTCTAGTTGTTTGGCAGTTTTATTTTTACTAATTTAACCATGGGATGTTTAAGAGAGAATATTTTATTTATCGACTTGTTTCTAATTGCTCGAAAGTGTATACATTTGCCAGAAAAAGGGAGGGAGAGTAAGAGGGAGAAAACACTTGCCAATGGGGCATGGTCACACCACAGTCCCTTCACAATTTAGTCATCCTTTGTGATTTGGGGGCATGCATGCACCCATGCCCTGCATGTTTTTCATGTTGCCAGGGCAAGATTTGAAATGCAGTTGGTTATGTGGGGTCCAGCTCCCTTACCCACTAGGCTGTGAGGTTGAACACAGAGGGAATATTTGATATCCCAAGAATTGATAATTTGTTAAGAGAGACAGACAGACACAGGTACACATAATAGCATCTTCAGGCTATGATCCATTCCCATTATCAGCCAGGAGCACGTAGGTACCTGGTATGCTCAGGGAGGTTTCTGGAAGTGAACCCAGGACCTCTTTTATGTAAGGTCAGTTGCACTATCACTGTGACACAGCCTGACCCTTAAGGTTAAGGTGATTTTGTGCTTCTTTGAGTATAGTTCTTTAGAAGTTGAAAATAATTACTTATAAAGAAAGAGAAAAGTTGGGTTCCAGGGTAAAAAAGCAATAAATTCATAGACCTAATCTGTTTTAGTCCTACTGCAGAGAAGTCACTTGAATGCCAGTGGCTGAATTTGCATGATCAAAATCATAATAATTGAGTTCAACCTGAGGAAGTATTCATTCTTTAAAATTTTATATGGGTATGTTACAGATATTTCACTAATTTTTCAAAACACAATTAAAATATTTTATATCAAACATATCTACATACTACCTTTTTACAAGGAAAATTCCTTTTATATATCTAGCATTAATATGTGACAGTGGAAAGATAGGCTCTATAATGTTTAAAGCAATCTGAAAATATGTTAACATGCAAAGCTGAAACTTTTTGCAGTAGGCAGTGAAGCATAAAAGTTACTAAAAGGAATGCAATGTAACATATACATACTGATTTCTGCAGGAAATTTCATATGGAAGTAAAACAAAAAAAATGTATGAGAAAATATTTTCTGTAAATATAAAGTAGTGACTATAAAGAATAGCAATTTTTACAACAGGTTCTAATTACAAATGTACCCCATTTGAAGTCAGACAAATTTTATCAAGTCAAAGTACACACAAATTTATCTCTTAGCTAATTGTTCATAATAAAAGAAGCTTTATGCAATGTTTTAACAGGATAGAAAACAGATCTATTTTAAGCAATATTTACAGATAATAGAGTATTTCTCGTAACAGATAATAGAATCAAAAAGTTAGAAATAATAGTGTAAAAAGGCCACTCTCAGTTGAGAATCAACCTAAAAAAATGCTATCCTAAATTATAAAGGGAGTACAATAGACAGTAGTATTTAATGAAAAACTTGTTTTTATTCTTTTTTGGGGGGAAACATGTAATTTGGATGGCATCAGAAAAAATTATGCAGATGGAATTTTGAATTACAAAGGAGCTATCTTTAGGCTTACATTAAAAAAAAATTAAAACATTTATGTCTCCCCTTTTCTATCCTTGAAGAAATGGAAAGGAATGAGTCCTTCTTTTCCCTAGCTCTAAAGCACATATCATATGTGCTTGTACTCTTCTTTGCTCATGAAGGAAGCATGTCAATAGCATGTGTTACATCACAGCATCCTTAGCATGATTTGAGGCTAAGGTGTTGAAATCAGCCTTCCCTCTCCAGTCAAAGAAAATCTGAATTATATAACATAAAATATCGCACAGAACCTCAATAGCAGAGTTTTTGTTATTATGCTCTACACTTTTTTTCTTTTTAAGGTTTATTTATTTATTTTTGAGGTTTTTTGCTGCAGGATGCTTGCATGAGAGAGGTAGAGAAAAAGTGAGAAATCTCCACCCGGGGGGATGGTCATGTTGCAGTCCCTTCTTCTCTACTCTTCTCAGGATTTGGGGCACACATCCACACGCACCTGGCGTGATTTTCAAGTCACCAGGTCAGAGATTCAACCTCAGTCAGCAGTGTGGGAATCCAGCACCTTAACCACCATGCCATCTGCTGGTCCCAGCACTCCACAAATATTTTTGATATCTAATGCAAATGTCGGTAAATAAAGAGGGCTAGTCTTTTGAAAGTGAAAAGTACAAAACCTCAAACTTACAGCAAGATAATATCTTTCCATGTGATAGAAAAAAATTCAAAATACACTAAAAATTCTGATGTTAATTGATGATATTTAACTCATCATAGTAATGATTATAAAATTAAGTTCTAGATTTTTTTCAGTAAAATCTTATCAAGTCAATATGAACTGATGCAACATGTAAACGTTGTAAATAAATAGTCTTTTTTATAAACTAAACTAAAAAAGCACTGGGGCAAGGCTGAGAGACTCAGATTCTAGGTCTGGAACTACAGGTTACTCAGTTCCTGAAACTGGTCTATAAAATGCAGATGGCAGCTATACTCCTATGAACACATTTTCCAGCTCAAACATTTATAGGTTGAGGATACTTTTAGTGCGAAGATATAAATGACATCATCATAATGAAAAAGATCTTACTGTTCTTCGAAGGATCTTTTACCACAGCATTCGTTTGGGCTATGCTGTCAGCTAGTTTGTTGTAATTTTTCTTCAGGCCATCAAGGTTTTGGTGGAGATCTTTAATCTGTGCCAGGACATCTTTAGCTGTGTCATTGGCTTGTCTGGCTTTGTCCTTAACGGCTTGCAGTTTAGCGGCTGTGTCTGTCAGCAGAAGAAGGTATGAGAAACAAAACAAAGAGTCTGGGGTTGGTGGCCTAATCCATGCTTGTCAAAGTGAGGCTGCGGTTGGCTGACCTCAGGGACACATGTACAAAAGGAAAAGGCTGAACTTCGTCTCATTTGGTTGTAGCAAATGAAGCAAATTTTTTAGCTAAATTAAATTTTCTCAGAGACCTTTGCTATGAATACCTGATTAGCTCTTAAAATAGTGAAGTGATTATTCTAAATGTCCGTTGTATAAGGGCATATTGTGATTTGCTGCTAAACATATTAAAGAGAGAAATTTATTCATGTAAGTTATATAACTTCATCAAAACTAGCCTTTAAGATTTCATCTGTTTTCCAGGTCAGGAGGAATATATGTACTTTAGACAGACCTTTTTAGGTATGTTAGACCATGAGTTTATGAGTTTATTTTTGTTTCAGCACTGGAAATTTTCTATGCACTTTACTGAAAAGATAGGAAGCCTGAAGTTACTCAGGTTTTTAGTGCTGGAAAAAAAACATTTAGATTTTCATATTTTTTATGTCATATAAATGTGCAAATTTATTTTCTGCTCATAAATTGTGTATAGAATAAATATTGTAAATATAGATAGATGCCTACTAGTGTTAGTAGGTTAGTGGTGAAGACCACAGGCTCTGAAGTAAACTGCATGTTTGAATCTCATATATGTCACTTTTAATAATGGCCTTCAGTACCCTGTGTCTCAGTTTCTCACTTGTAAAGTGGGGAAAATAATGTTATTCACCTTGTAGAATTAGTACAAGGATTACATACACTTAAGCATAATGAGTAAGCACTCAGTAAATGTTTGCAACCTTTGTTGTTATTAAGTCATGCTATTAAACATATTCAAATAGTATCCCTAGTATAATAAATGCTTTTAGGAACTAACACCAAGCAATAATTTCAAGTAGTTCTGACAGCTAGGAAGATATTACAGATGTGGTTTGATCATTGCTTTAAAAAAAAAAATAATTTACTGTAAGAGGGTGTGTGTGTTTGCCAGAGACAAGAGAGAGAGGAAGAAGAGAAAGCACCTCCCATGGGGAATGGTCATAATCATGCCACATCTCTTCTCCTCTATCTTCCCCTTTCAGGATTTTGAGTACAAATGCAAATGAGTTTGGCATGCTTCCAAGCAACTAGGTCTGTAAATTCAGCTATGCAGTGGGCCATGTGGGGTCAGGCTGCCTTAGTCACCAGGCCATGGAGCTGCCCCATCCATTAGTGATTTTGAAAGATGGAACATCTAAGGAACTGAACTTTGAAGAGTGAGGTAGGGAAGGTTAGTCGGCATTCAACTATTACTGGGAGTTCTGTAATAAACTATGACTTTGTGGTAGCACGTCAACATTCTAGAGAATAGTGTCTGTATGATTTTAGCCTTTCCCACTAATGCAAGATTTCTGGGGCTAGAACGTGGAAGGCAATATGATAGCATGTCTATATCTTCCGTTTTGTAACATTTTTCTGTGGATACCAGTTAATGGCAATGAATAATAAGAAATACCACAATGTAGAGAGCATTTCAGTTATCATTCTTACAAAGAAGAATTCACAGGAAAACCAGTATCTGATTTCCTGACAACAGCACAAGTGGAATGTTAGAAAAAATGGTAAAAGTAAACAACAGTCTTTAAAAGTTCAGGTCAACGGACACTGTCTGCTGTGTCATACAAACTTACCATTGGGAATGGCAGATAACTTTCCCAGAGTGTCATTCAACGCTCTCTGCAGATCTCCATTTCTAGCATCAGCATTTTCCAACCTGGTGGTTAGGCCATTTAGATGTTCATCATTTTCTGTAAACATAGAACATAGCAGGGGTAAAACAATTGTAATCACCTCTGAGCTCATACCTGAACATGCGATTTTAGTTTATTTTAATATAAAGTTAACAAAAAACAAACAAAACTAACTCATTTATTGCCCTTTCTCATATAAAAGTTTATGTTAAATGTGTTTTGGGACCAGGAGTTAACATAATGGCTATGTTGCTGAACTCCCACATAGTCGACCACAATTCAAGTCCCAGACCCAATGGCTTAAACTCACGCCAGGCGCATGTGTGTGCATGCCCAAGATCCCGAGAGGAGAATGGAGGAGAAGAAATTATGGTGTGGCCATCCCTCCTGGGGGGTGATTTCTCGCTTTCTGTCTCTCTGTCTCTCTGTCTCTCTCTGTCTTTCTGGCTAGGGCACATGCCCTATAGCAAAAACCTCTCTTAAAAAATGAGTTTTAATGACCATTTGATATTTTGGGACCAGCAGTTGGCATAATGGCTATGTCGCTGGACTTCCATGTAGTTAATTGCAGTTCAAGTCCCAGACCCATTGGTTTAAACTCACGCCAGGCACGTGTGCGTTTGTGTGCAAGATCCCAAGAGGAGAATGGAGGAGAAGGGATTGCAGTGTGACCAGTCCCCCTGGGGGGGGTGACTTCTCGCTTTCTGTCTCTCTGTCTCTCTCTTTCTGGCGAGCTCATATGCCCTATAGCAAAAATTTCTTAAAAAAAAAAAAGACCATTTGAGATTTCAACAATTACAGTTTATTTTACATCTGACTTTATTTGATGGCTTTCTATGGAGAATAAATCTCTAAACAGTCTTTTACTGCATATCTAAGAATACCCTATTGACATTATTCCTATTAATGTTACTTATTTAAATTTTTTTTCACCAAATGGATGATTGGATTGACCTTACAAAATCTCAGATATGATTGTTAGGCAGAATTGCTTCATTTCAGTATTATCTCTTATTGGTATTTATTTAAAACAAAAATAAAAATCAATGAAATGGAAAAACAATATTTTTAGCACAGATCTAAAACTGTAATTTTTCATAGAGGGAGCAGGGTTTTTATAAATTGCCTCAAATACTTTAGATTGTTTTTTCTTTGCTATATTAGCATGATTTCTTTAATATTCACAACATACCAGATTATAAGCATACATTTTCTAACTTTTTTCTTCTAACCTTTAACATTCTCTAAACTTTAGGTTAATTTATATTATAATAGCAATTTGAATCTAACAGTATAACAAGTAAACATTAGGAAATCATTTGGGGCAGAAAATAAAGATACAAAATGTTGATATAAGAATGTAATTTAAAAAATCTTATTTAGGTTGCATCAAACTTCAAATTTATCTTAAGATGGAAATGGAAATCTGTATTCTTCTATCACTAACAGTGAACGGTGGAATTAAAAAAAATTATGGAAAATCTTAGGCTTTCTTCCGTACAATTTCTCTCTGTTGACTGGATAAAGCAGATAATTTCTTGTAAATATTTTAAAAGTTTATTATGCCTTGATATTTGTTCCCTTAGGAGATGCATGCTAATTGTAATTAGCTCCACAAAAGTACAAAATGTAAGTAGATGACACAATATCCCAGTAAGGAGGAAAACCGAGGAAGAACAGAGAAAGAGAAGATACCCTAGTCCCTCCTAGACAAGCCTGGGTAACATTTAGTAATAGCATTGGCTGACAGTCACTGGGTATATGTGCCACATACAGTGCTGGTCAGTTTCAGTGGCTTATTTTACTTAATCCTTACAACAACTCTGGTAGTGCATATTCTATTACCATCTCCAATTTGCAAATGAGGAAATTGAGACTTAGAGAAAGTAAATTTTCTAAGGTCGTGTGATTAGGAATAGCAAAGTTGGGAGGCAAATTCATGTGGTCTATTGTCAAAGACAAAAAATTAAAAATGATGGTGAGGATATGGGTAAAATAAACCTTTGGACATTGTTTTTAAGAATATCAATTAGTAGAGTCATTTTAGAAAACACTGTGGAGGTTCCTTTAAAAACTGAACATAGAGGGAACCAGCAGTTTGCGCAATGGCTATGTTGCTGGACTCCCACGTAGTCGACCACGGTTCGCGTCCCAGACCCGGTGGCTTAAAACTCACGCCGGGTGCATGTGCGTGCGTGCCCAAGATCCCGAGAGGAGAATGGAGGAGAAGGGATTGCGGCATGACCATCCTCCCTGGGGGGTGATTTCTCGCTTTCTGTCTCTATGTCTCTCTGTCTGTCTGGCGAACGCACACACTCTATAGTGAAAATCTCTCCAAAAAAAAAAAAAAACTGAACATAGAACTGCTTTATAATCCAGCAATCTCACTACTAGATATACTTCCAAAGGAAAGGAAAGGAAATCAGTACGTTGTAAAGAGATTTTCACTGCAATGTTTATTATAGCATTACTGATAATAGGTAAAGTATGAACTCTAAGTATCCATCCATGGACAAATGGATAATCTATTAACATTTCTAAAACAGAATTTTGTAGATTTTCATCTCAATCCAGTTACATACACACAATAGAATGTTACTCAACCACTGAAAAGGACAAACTTGGGGACAACAGGTATTGTAGTAGTTAAAGCATTGAACTCCGACATGGCTGACTGTAGTTTGAGTCCCAGACCAGGTGGCTTGAACATTACTCTGGGTGCGTGTGTGTACATACTCAATATCCCAAGAGGACAATGGAGGAGAAGGCATTATGGCATGGCCATCTCTTCAGTGAGTACATGTGCCCTATGGCAAAAAAAAAAAAAAAAAAGGCAAACTCCATCATTTGAAATTAAATGGTCATCCTAATGGACGTTAATTACCTTAAGTGAAATAAACCATGCACAGATAGACAAAGACCACGTGTTCTTCATCATATGGGGAAATTGAAAAGAATTACCTTATAAAGATAGAGAGATGAAGAATAACTATTATAGGCCAGAAAGGATGAAGGATGGAACAGAAGGACATTGATAAACAGGTACAAAATAACAGATGGGTAAGTTCTAGCATTATAAAATACAGTAGGTAGAATGAAATTAAGAAATATTTAATGCACATCTCAGAGTAACAAAAAAAGGATTTTCAATGTTTCCAACACAAAGTAATGACAAATGGTTGAGATGATAAGTAGAGTAAGAATCCTGAATTAATCATTATGTATTGTATTCTTGCACTCAAAATTAATCACTTGCCAAATGTTTATGATTATACATATTATATTACTCAACAAATATGTATTATTGTTATATGTTAATAAAAAGTAAATAATGGGAACCAGCAGTTAGCGTAATTGCTAGGTCGCTGGACTCCCATTAAGTCAACTGCGGTTTGTGTCCCGGACCCGGTGACTTAAAACTCATGCTGGGCGCGTGTGCGTGTGTGTCCAAGATCCTGAGAGGAGAATGGAGGAGAAGGGATCGTGGCGTGACCATCCTCCCTGGGGGGGGGGTGATTTCTTGCTTTCTGTCTCTGTCTCTCTCTGTCTGTCTGGCGAGCACATGTGCCCTATAGCAAAAACCTCTCCAAAAAAAAAAAAAGTAAATAAAAATATTTTAAACAAACAAATCCACAGAGGCTCCTTCCATAAATTGATCGTGTTAACTCCCACATTCTACTAGGGATCGCTAGTCAACACCAGGTATTAGCAGAACGTATTAGGTAGTAGTGCTCAGCCCACCCTTCCCCCGTATCTCCAACATTTTTTTTCTCTTTCTCTTTGTCTCCCTCTTATTTTTGCCTTTGTTTCTTAAAAAAATTAGTCATGAAAATTGTTCAATATTTTCATGAATAATGGACAAAATACAGAAATAGATAGTTCATAGTAAAATAAATAGAAACAATAAATTATCAAATTAGAATAAAACGCTCATTATCATAACTAAAAAATTTTAAAGCAAAGTCACAGTGAGATATCATCTATCAGACTGGGAAAAGTTAAATGTCTGATAAAATGTAGTGTTCACAAAAGTGTTGGAGAAAATGAAAATTGACCCTGTGTTTTAAAAGAACAATTGTAAAAATGCATTACAAATTGAAATAGACATATATTTGGCCTAGCAATTTTACTGCCAGAAATTTTTCGTATGATATACTTCTGAAAATATACAATGCAGGCATGGTGATTGAGGCACTGGACTCTCACATGGTCAACCACAGCTTGAGTCCCAGACCTAGCAGCTTGTTTTCTCACTTTCCGTCTATCTCTGTCTCTCTCTGGTGAGTGTACATGCCATATGGCAAATTAAAATAATTAATTGATTAATTAAATTAAATAAGTAATCAGAAATGGGCAAGTATTATTTGCGATCTTGGTGCTATTTGCCAACACCAAGACTGGTATTTTCATCACTTTTCTGGTATCCAGGAGAGAATATGCCCATGGAACAGTCTTGATGGATTGTGTGCCCATCCCTTTGAGAGGGTGCACCAGGCTTATTAGGGGAGCTGTGAAGACCATCAGCAGCTGGAAAACTGTCCTTGCCATTATCAGACTTTATCTGAGAAGAATAGCAAAGGGAAAGGAAAATAGAGGATTCTGAATTCTTGGTACCCTGGATGTGAAAAGAGAACTGAACATACTAATTAATGCTCTACTCCATTTCCTATAAACGGTTTTACAAGCAGACTTGATTAAACCACGGTTATACTACAGATTATACTAACATGAGCACATAATATTGTCTAAGGTGTCTGCTATTAAATTCCAAACCAAAAATCTGGCATCACTGAAAAACAAAGCATGAAATATTCCAGCAAAGCATGACTTTAAAACATCAGTATGTCCATTTCAGCCACTAATAAATTATTATTTTCAATTCCACACTTTACAAGTAATCGAATTTTCTCCTCTGTCACTCACAGCTTATCTTTCTCTTAATACTTGCTATTTTTCACTGCTTTTCCTGAAATCAAATCTTTGGATGGGGCAACTGAAAGTACACCTTCTAAACCCATGCCAGTCTGATTGTGACTTTGATATCCATGAATTCCTTG